TATATAATTTTTAAATATAATTAAATTTAACAAGTTTATATTATTTAATGATATTTTTTTTCCTGAAATATCTCTTTTAATGTATGATGCTTTAGTTGTATTACTTATTTTTTTACATTTATCATAAGAATAATTTAAGAAAAAAATTATAAAAATAACAAAAATTTAATACAAATAATTAACATTCGTAATATAAGTAAAATTAATTATTTTTAGTTATAATAGAAAATAGAGATAACAAATATCACACATGCGTTACAAAATTAAATTAAATAAAAATATTTTAAAATATAAATATATTGAATTATATATTTTCAAATTTTAAAAGAGAAGATATTATTATATAAAAAAATAATGAAACTTCTGCATCATTAATATGATCCACCAAAAACTTCAAAGGTAGAGCCTTAGTAACAAGCGATTAATTAATCCGGTGAAGAAAAAAAAAAGTCGAAAAGCAACCATTGATTGGTATTTGTTCAGAAAAAATAGAACAAGTCCTAACCAATCATTTTATATGGTTCATACCAACCACACAACACACATGGTTTCAAACTCTCGGTCACAAGTCATTTCGCAGAAAGTCCTGATTAACCATTCGTATTTATTTGTTTCAGACCACCCAAAACAACACACATGGTTACAGAATCTCAGTTACAAATCATTTCCTAGAAAGTCATTGTAACATATTTTTAATTTCTCAAATTTAAAATAAATTTGTTTTTTATTTTTGAATTTAATCCATGTAATATAAAAACATAATATTTTAGTTCCTCAAGATCAAATACAACATCATTAACAAAAATAAGTTAATGGTGTGTTTGGATTAGAAATTTTACAAATTCATGGAATTTAAAGTTCTTAATATTTGAATTACTTTGATTTCAATTTTTATCATACTTAAAATATTTTGTTTGGATAAGTCAATTCAAATTTATCAAATTTTAAATTGTTGGATTAGATATGGTAATTTGATTCCACCATGATAAAATTGATTTTAAAAATATATTATATGTTGATATTTTTAAATTAAATTTTAAAAAAATAGATAATAGCTAATTTTTAAATATTTAATAATTTTAAAAATTAATATTAAGTAATATTTAATAATTTTAAAAATATATTTGAATGTTCAATAATTAAAAGAATGAAGAGATAAGAGATAAAATAAAATATATAAGTGAAATAAGAAAAATAAATATAAAAAATTTCAAATTCTTACTTTTTTTTAGGAGAATTTGAAATTCTACTATTTTAAAGAATTTCACAAATACTTGAATTTCAAATTTCTTATAAATTTTTCATCCAAACAAGGTATTTCACTTTAAAAAAAAGTTGAAATTCTTCAAATAAATTAATTATTTCATTTAAATTCCCCGTCCAAATACAAGATTAATTGAGTTTGATGCATTACTTTATTAAAAGCGACACGAATAAATAAAATTTACGTGATAGATTCCAAAATTCAATAAATTTTATGCGAGTGTTGTGAAGCAATAACATTTATATGTATAGAAATTCAGTTGGTCCGTTATTCATTAAAAATTAATTATCAAGATATCATCTATACCAATTTCAGATAATGAGTAATATAAGTAAGTACCTGAGATATACAACTTCCAAGTCCCATGCCCTCAAAGAACTGATGAAAAGTCAACGCAGCTACCAGTGGTCTCATTGTTTTGGGACTCTCTGAAACTCCCAGAGAAATTCCAATGATGACAGAGTGAACTTTATAATTCCAAGCTCCAACACCTACAACAAATTCAATATCATCAATACAAATTCAAGTGGATTAAAAATATAAACATTTATCAAAGAATATGAAACTCTGAGAAAATAAATCATACGGTATAAATTAATATTACAATTCAATTAAGATAATTCTTGATTGATAAACGATATAACTTTTTATACTCATTAAACTCATTTAAATTTATTGTAAATTTATAACTCTTCATCTTGCGCAATATGATCAAAATTTGAGGATTTGATTCCTCTAGATTAAAGTTAGGAAGCGTACGATAATTCAAATCAATTACTATAGTTTTCTTTTTTTTTTTCACTTTGTACATTTCTTCAATTAAAAGAGAAGCATCTAAAAGCTGAATACCGGCTGCGAATAGAAACCATCAAACAAATGTGAATTGAAAATTAAAACTTACCAAACAAGGATATGTGAATTCAAAGCTCCAATTTATAATTCATATCCCACATAAAATTAACCGCACATTTTTCTATAATTTTTCACAAGCAGTGTGAAGAATCACATCACAATATTGCAAACGCAACTCCAATTTAGAACCAAGTTTAGAAGACTATATAATCTAATCTCTCTTAAGCCTTGAGAATTGTAATTATAACCACAAATTTAAACTAAGTAGATAATTGTGACTATAATCTAATCTTCTTTAAGGCCTAAGAATTAATTAATAGTCAACCTTTTGGGTCAGCGAGACATTAGTAGAGAGCACAATAACATAAATAAAAATTAAATTTGAATATATAACTGTGATATGACCCGATGACGAAGAAGTTCAGAGGAATCATCATGAGAAGAAAAATGACCATGTGCATGACCATGAGTTGCTTGTGTGTGAAGATGTACATTTCCTTCATGGCCATGTTCCATCTCGACATCAGTGACCTCCTTCACAATTGGTGTCCCTTTGAAGTGTTGCTTTTGAAAATAAGTAGTGGCATAAGTGTCAACCATGAGGGTCCCCATGGCAGTGCACATGGCCACGAAGCCAGTGAAATGAAAATCGCCCCATGGATGCTCTTTCAAACAAGGGCAATTTAAGTTTTCAAAGGCATCAGGTAGAACGTGAATGAAGCCAGTGGCTAATATCACACCCGCAACAAAGGCCTTAACGAAGAAGAAGGCGTGCTTCTCGGGGCTCAACGCGGGTATAATCTTCCCTAGGAGTGGATAACCACACCAATTGCACTAGCTATTAGTGTAACACCCCAGCAACACCATATATATGGCATGCTTCGTTCTCTTTCCTAACCGATGTGGGACTTCACAATCCACCCCCCTCCCGCATGTGGATATTGTCCGCTTTGGCCGCAGCCCTCACGGTTTTGCTTCTGGCAATGGCACGCATGCCACCCCAAAACGCTTCCACACAAGGAAGGTATCCACACCCATATATATGGCATGCTTCGTTCTCCTTCCTAACCGATGTGGGACTTCACAATCCACCCCCCTCATGGGAGTCCAGCGCCCTCGCTGGCACACCGGC